TTGCTGTTGTTTTCCCCCTTGCCCTAATTGGTGTTATTCTTTCTATTCATCCTGTTAGAAACATTCAACAAACAAATACCTTTCATTCTGGCCTTCCAGGAAAACATAAATGGTATAATCTATTACCTAAGTAATACTTTTTTCCTGAACATTCCTTCTAGAACTGGCTTACTCCTGAGAAGAATGCAAGCTAGCTGACCCAGGGCTATCTCATCTGTGACTTACTAGAACTGTTGAGCATTTGCCAGTGACAGTATTAGCAGGGTGACTTGCCTTGCCTTTTACTTCTCTCAGTTTTTTCCTTTTTCAAATTTAACGTTTGCCTTGTGGCGTGACTTCTTTTCAACTTTGAAAGGTTACTTAGAAATAATGAAAGACTGCCTCTAATACACGTAAGATGAAACCGCTCATTAACTTCAAAAAAGGTACGGGTGTATTGAACAATAACCACTGCTTTAGGTCAAAATTTCATCTTTTGAACAAGAAGTATTAGATATACACTACTTGTGTATATAATATTTACTTTTCCATAATGTGATCTTGAAATTGAAAATCAATGTTTATAGAACATTCTGCTGCATAAAAATGAGGAACTCAGATGTGATCATAGAGTTATTTTGTGTTTTATTTCCCCCATTGAGCTTTCTTTAACTATTTCCAATCTTAATTCATTTACTGAAATAAATATAATGAAGAAGCCAAACTTGCCTATCTTAATAATCAGAAGTGAAAATTATATTTGTACATACACATAGATGAGTCATTCTTTTATCCCCGTACCAAGTCTACAAGTGTAGAGTATGTTCTGCTAATCCAGTTACTATCATAAAGCTATGCAATGAAGAAAACATTCAATGAAAATCATACTTAAAAACAGGACATTACTGTTCAGCATGTTCCCTCTTCAAGAAGGTCATTTTAGGATCCCAGTAAGATGAAGAGATACTATTTAAAATCACTACTATAAAAGTGCTTTTTTTTTTTTTTTATGGTAGACAAACGCAAGTTTGAACTCACCAGGCTTTAAAGCATCAACATACTCAGCGTTTAAACTTTCAAAAAGGGCAGTGGTCAAGGGAGACATTAAGAAAATCTTAATCAAACAGAGACAAGGCACAGTGAAAGAGGCTGTACGTACCTGACGGCACACGTAATCCCACTGAGTGTTAAGTTCTCGGAGTTCTGTCTCAAGTCTGCTGGCAAACTCCGGCTCTGCTTCAGTCTTCAGCTTTTGCACACCTTCACTGACACTGTTGAGACTGGGCTGAATCGTCTGAATATCATTGACTAAAAGCTAAGGAAATAATTCCATGTAAGCTAGCTGCAAATATCACCACAACATACTAGAACTACCACATAGATAGGAAACATATAATCAGGACTCAGGACATTATCCATGAATTAAAATCTTTATTTCCTTAAAAGAGTTTAAAGAATTTAAAATCTGATATGCACCCACCTGTAGATATAGACCTATCCAGGTCTGTCTTGCCGTAACTGTTCAGTGGTTTTCCTGGTGTGAATCAAGTAGGGAATTATCTATATTCTACTTAGATCAGACACACAAGGAAATAAATCTGATATTCCTTGTTAGAAAAATGTGTGAAAATGATGGGCTTTATACATTACTATTTTTGAAATGATTTTGGTTTTCAAATACAAGATATTGCAGCAATTGTTTACAGCATGATGGGTGTGAAGGTTATTTGTAAGCTGGGTTTGTTTTCTTTTTTCTTAGCTTGTATTTGCAAAGAAAATTCTTTAAAGAGCTAGATTACTTTCTTTCCACTGCATGACAACGGTATAATGAATATTATTTCAAAAATCCATATTGTATAAAATTATGTCCAGTGCAGTACGCCTGGGCAGAGCAACCCAGAATGACTAATAATTTGCAGTAAGATATAACAAATATCTCAAAGGATTTTGCCTTTAAATGAAACTGTATTTTATAGTAAAATAATCTTACGAGTGTTGAGTAAAAGATAATCTTTTTCTGTTCCTCATTTATTTAACCCGGTCTCTCAACACTGGCACAAGTATCATTTTAGACCAGCTAATTTTTGTTGTGAGGGGCTCTTCTGTCTCTCTGTACCGTAGAACATGTACAGAGCATTCCTGGCCTCTATCCACTACACACTAGTAGCATCCACCCCACTCCAAGTTGTCACAAAAATGTCTCTAGAGGTTGCTAAATGTCCCCCAGGGGAGCAAAATCACTCTGGTTAAGGACCACTGATAAAACCAAATCGTACCTTCCATATAAAAGTCTTCATATGATAAGGGTCATATAAAAATCTTACCCTGCACTGTTTCAGCTGTCTTTTCAGAATTTCTGAATCCCCAAGGGCAGGCCATTCCTCCTTCAGAAAAACATCAACTTCAGCCATCCATTTCTTCAGAGTTTTTATGTGATTCTGGAATCGGAGACCCATTTTAAGCTTTATTGGGGTGCTGAGTTCTCTTAACACAATTCATCACAGTGATATTTATGAACACAAGCCCAGGAACAATTCCTGTGTTTGAAGGATGTCTCTAAGTAGCTCTTCAGGAAAAGAATATTTTTACTAAGACTGCATTTTTATGGTCTACAGTATGAGCACTGGTGTATGAAGTCTGCTATTGTTAAAAATAAAAAATTACTACCAAATGTGGTTTTATGATGTTACTCTTGAGAACATTAAATCATATCCCCCTCTAGAGAAATTTTAAGTTACAAAACAACTCATGATAATACTAACAATGTGCCCTTACAGTACATAAAACAAACTATGAACAATAAACTCAATGTAATGATGTCTTTATAACCTCCCTAAACCTGATCTTCCACAAATTGTTTTCTACAATTGACAGTTTAAATAGTCCCTCCAGTTGGGAACTTTTCAGAATATAAGATTTTGTCATCTTTGAAGAGAAAACTTCTGATTTTAATTTCTTATTTGCCTGACCAGGCTGAAGTAATTATCAGGTGAAAAATGTCATCTTTTATCATTTATAAATAGCCAAGTACCTCCCATTATTCTTTTACATATTGCTTTTTCTTCCCCCCCCCGACTGTTTTTTTTTTTTTTTTGGCTACTTTTCAAATGTATGACTTTTGAGCTCCTTTATTTCCCACACAATTCAAATCTGCTGCCCAGATGTGCTATTTCCTTCCTTAATTAAGTTTCTACTGAAAATATGTGCTTCCCAGAAAGCTTCCCCTTCAACATGATTAATACTAACGCTTTTTAAAAAAGCATTTGACTAAATCTAAGAACTTCAGATTTCAACATTATCATCTTGCTGATATCTCTTGAGTCTGGTTTCACGTGTCTTCCATCTCGCCACTGTCCTAGTTCAGATCATATTATTGGCTCCTTGATGACTGCATTAGCTCTTTTTGGTGTCTGCCTCAATCTTTCCCTACCCTAATCCATTCTCCACCTGGGTGTCAGTATTTTTCTTAACTCCTCCTTCTTCTTATCACAGTGATGCTTTGAAAACACAAATATTATCCTATCTTTCCCCCTTTAAAATAGCAGTAACAGTTCGAAATTCTTCTTTTTTAATCCCAAGACCATTAGGGTGTAATTCATATTCCAAAGCATGGCATCTGGGACCGTTCGTTATCTACTCCTAGATCCTTTTCCTAATCATATGTATTATTTAATCTCCAAACACATTTTCATCTCTCTAAGACTGAACCCCTTCTGGCTAAGTGAACATGTGGCTGCATTGTGTCAGGTACCTTCTCTCCCTCTTTATCAGCTGACTAAATTCTACTTGTTCAAGGTGCAGCCTAGATAACCCATGTTCCAAGAACATTTCATAGCCCCTTTGCCCAGTTTATGTTGGATTTCTTCTCTGTCTCTTGTGGTAATGTTTACCATACTGTTTAATTTACTTCCCGTGTTGGCTGAATAATGACCTCCCCAAGATGGTCATGCCCTCATCCCTGGAACCTGTGAATATGTTCCCTTACGTGGCAAAAAAGACTTTGCAGATGAGATGAAGTATCTTGAAACGGAAAGGTTATCCTGGGTTATCTAGCCAGGCACAGTGTAACTGCAAGGGTCCTTATTAAGAGAGGGTCAGGAGCGCGAGCGCTAGGGAGATAGGCTCTAAGAAGCTGCACTGCTGGCGCTGAAGACAGAGGATGCGGCTGTCAGGGGAGAAATGTCATTTCCAGAAGCTAACGAGGACAAGGCAGCAGACTTTTTGCTCAAGACTCCAGAAAAGACACAGCCATGCCTACACCTTGATTTTAGCCCCCTGTGGCTGATTTTGGACTTTTGACCTCCAGAACTGTAAGATAATAAATTTCTGCCATTTTAAGCTACTAAATTTGCAGTAATTCGTTACAGCAGCGATGAGGAGCTAACACACCTTTTCGCTTCACTAGAATGTGGGCTCCTTGTTGGCAAGGGCCATGTATTTATACCCTCTTTTACCACTGGTACTGGCAAAAATGTGTTTGCGTGTATGTGTGTGTGCACATATACTTATATGTAGAGACATGTTCATATGTACCTTGTGCTTTACAGAAGGTTTTAGGACTCATTCTTTTGGTTTGTAAGAGGTAAAAACAAACAACTAGTAACTGGACTGGGACTTAAAACCAGAAGTATCTTGTGCCGATGCTTTTCATCATGCCATGATACTGTCAAAGATTCATCCCAGCATTAATATTCTTCACAATAATTTGCCCCATAAGAGAGGTATTACCTATCTCAGTAAATATTTTAGACTTTAGACTAGAATGTTAATTGTTGGTTTACGGTTTTCAGCTTGGGTGATTAGGAGCATGGTGACACTATTCAAACAAATTAAGTCAGTAGGAGCTGGTCTGTGGAAGGTAATGAGGTCAAATTTATATATACAATTTTAAGTAAAATATGCAGATAAAATGATATGACTTTATCACATGATAGATAACTTTTTATCTATTCATAAGCTAAGTGATGCCTACATTTTAAAGGACAAGCAGACTGAAGGAGAGACTGGTTTTGAAAATTATTAAGCCAAAAATATACTTAAGTCCTATCAATATTGGTGGCCAAAAAAAAGAGAATTCTCAGGAAAATCTAGAAAGGGCAATTCTCAATTACTGTTTCTTAAAAGAAATAAGCAAAATACACTCATTTGAGAAAAACGTGTGTCTTTTGAGCTTATCACTGACTTTGAAGAACAATGGAAGTTAAATACCTATTTGCCTTTTATAACACATCATTAGGGGAGAAACAAGCAAAGAAAAAAATGAGTCCAAAAGTCCAATCTTGAATTACCTGAATTTTTCGAAGTTTAGCCATTTGCTCCTCTAGCTTCTGGCAAAGTTCAACCAACTGGGAAGACAGCTTCTTCCAGCGACCCTCAATCTCTTCAAATTCTGATTGATACTTCCGGCTAATATCAGACAGTGGTGCTTTCTTTGACATCTCTTTCACAGTGGTGCTGAGATAGTTTAGGTCACTTTGTTGTTCTTGCAGAGAGCTTTGTAAAGCCTCCAAATTAAAAAAGGAAAGTACATGTATACTAACTGATGAATAATAACAAGTTTCATTGCACAGTTTCACTTACGAGTTTCACTTAAATGTATTTACAGTGAAAGCTATGTGATTCAAACATCAAAAAATATAGATGTGCCATCAGTTACAGAATAACTAGTAGTGATTCAAATTCTACTGTTTACCCTAAGAGTAATTTGCATAGTAATATTTTATTTAAAAATCTATGCCTGTTTTTACGAACAATGTCAAATATAACCCAACTCTGTATGAACCAGAGTTCTAGCACACCTAATTTTATTGTATCACATCTGCCTATTAGTAACTGTATTTATGATATAGTTAGGGAGCTTAATTACATGGAGTCTTTATAAGACAACTTCTAACGTTCTCTAGGTAAAAACATAACTAAATCATATAGATACATGGGATAACAAAACTGAGTAAGTTAACACACGGATGGCCTATGAATGCCAATTAACTAAAGTTTCATATTTTATACATTTTTTAGTGTTATAGTGAAATTTAGGATAATTTGGGGGATAATTTCTAAAGTTGGTTTTACAATTGTCCTGTGTAACCTGTGCAATCACTTATAACAGAATATCCATTTTAGGGTTTCTCCACTCGCTATTTATTACTTTCTGGTTATAAAGTAAGAAAGGTTCAAGATAAAACATTAAACAAATTATCCATTTATATATTATTTTATGCAAACTTCATGTTTCTATAACTCAACATCGAATATGTGAACATATTATATACACACATACACAATAATTCCTTCTTTTACAATGTGATCTATAATATTCCCCAAATATGCCAAATACATACCTTTTATAGTTGTATAATATCTTATGCCTATTTTGTGGTATTTTAAATTTTTTGCTTTAATTTTACTTCATTAAACTTGATTTATTATTTAGACAATACCCAGCATGCATGTAACTACATTTTGAGTTAGGCCTTTTTTTGTGAGCCTTTCCCCACATCATTAGGTATTTTTCAAAAACATAAATTTTAATGGCTTCTCTGGCTCATTTAACCATTTCCCATTATTAGCTCTACAAATTAACTTCTAGTTTTCCACCCCTGTAAATTATGTTTATAATCTACCCATCTATCTATCTGCATCTATTTTTCTATTTTTTCATGTATTCTGATTACCGCCTAAGATACAGACTTCATGAAAATAGTATTCAAATGTATAATACAATTAAAAATTGTTTTGTATGTTATTAGGAAGTATTGAAAAGTTTCCTCAGCAAAATTTTAATTCAATTTACATTCCCACCAGAGAGTGAGAAGGCAGCTCATTGCTGCCAGACCTGCACTTATTATATCTTTTTGTTTGCAACTGAGATGTGAAAAATAGTATTTCATTTTATACATCTGTACTTCATCCTTTACAATTTGAGTTATAATTTTTCATAGGTTTAATGGCTGTTTATGTCTCTCTTTGTGACTTCCTTATTAATGACTCTCTCCCTTACTCAAATTTTTTTCCTTGGTCTCATCTTTCTTTTAAATTGTCCAGTATTTTTACCATGTTTGTAATTATGTCCATTGATTTGTGTGCTTCTCTCTTACATGTTTTTAAATATTTTACTGAAAAGTTTCTCCAAAATCTGTGCTTATTAAAATGTTTTTGAACTTTTTAATATATGTGGTATTTTGTTTTTGTATAACATTTGACACAAAGTTCCAACTACATTTTCTCGGCTACTTAATACAATTTCTCAATAATATTTGTAAGTAATTTTTCTCTTCAATGTTTCTTCAGTAGAAGAAACATCTACACACAATTTTGTGTATACTCAATCTACTCCTCTAGTTGCTGTATTCTTTGTACTTGTTTTAAGCTGATAGTTCTATTAAGTCACATATTCTTCAAAGTAAATGTTGGAATCATTCCAGGTATTAAAAACAACATAAAAAAACAAGATCAAACAGTTACAGGTTGCTTGATGTGTTAGTAGGAAACAAACAGTCAGTTTAAATAGGGCAATAGATACTGAAGAATGTTTAAATGGAGATCTCTTTGAAGAAATAGTTCTAACATAACTTTAAGAAATAATATTTAATTCTTGAAAAAGAACTCTTCATATAAAAGTTTAATTTTTATTTTTTTCTTAATTCTCAAAATGTAGACCTATCTCAGCTCCTAAATATAATTAATAAATGCTTTCTTGACCTAAAAAATAAAATGTGATTGGATATAAAGCACAAGCTTTTCAGAATTAGTAGGAAAAGTATTCTGAAATCTCTTACAAATTATTTCTTTCATTTACCACATTAGTATTTTCTATGTGATATAAAGCTGCTAAAATGTAGCTAATAGAACTCAAAAAATTAATTATGATATTACATAAGGCTATGTTTAAAATTTGTTTTATAACTACACAGATTTTACCACTTTGTTTGGAAATGTGAAAGGAGTTATAAATTAGCAAGCAAAGGAGGGGGGAATAATACCACAACTTTTATAATAATCAAAATCATTGTCTGAAAACACATACTAAACGGGAAAGAATATACTTCATACATAGACCATATCATTGTCTTCAAAGATAGAGTTTTTGTCTTATGGAGAGAAGGCACAAATGCATAAAAGTTACATTTTTTAACTCTTATCTTCACTTTTGCAACTGGTAAACTATCATACTTGCCATGATTATTTTATTTCTATTATTTTCACATTACACCAATGTAAAAAATAAAGGTCACACCAATGTGACTGCTTGATAGATGAGATCTGCCCTATATTGTTTAAGACATAACACATATTCACAGACCTGTAACTCTCCCAGTCTTTTTTCCATGATGTCATATTCAGTGACAGTGACCTGAGGTATAGAGAGTTTGGTTTCTGACTGCTGGATCCATGTCAGGATGGTACTCATGGTCTCCCGGTAGCGCATGGGTGGCAAAGTGTCAAAAACTTTATCAAAAGGCAAAAGAAGAGAATCATTTCATTATTTTAAACTTTGTCATTATGTTTTACTAAGTTGTCAGCAAACTAAATCACACTGCTAATTACAAATATTAACAAGTTGTGAAAATGTGAAGATACAGAGTAGAATGTGATGATGATCTTGAAAATAAAATCTTACTACTACATGTATATTTTGACAGAAACTACACACACACACACACACACACACATATTACACTGAATCCTCACATCAGACTTGCAAGGTTTTTGTTGTTAAAGTCATTTTTTTTTAAGGTAAGGAAATGACAAAACATAGAGGCTAAGTAATGTGCCCATGGTAACAGAGATGGTACTTGGAGAAACCAAGGAGAGTTCATGTATACTGACTTTGAAGGATACTCTGTGTGTGCTAGCATTTGCCTTTGCAGAAAATAGTATCATTACCCACAGCAGTTGATATTTTAAATTATATCATGTCACTTAGCTCACTAAAAAAATTCTGCATATTTAGTATGTATCAGAGACTCTAATAATGATTACCCATATTATCATTCTCAATTCTTACAATAAACCTATGAGATAAGCATTTTTAATCTCATTTACAGTCGAGGAAACTGAGGCTACAAAAAAAGGCCAACTAATCTGCTCAGACTCAAGAACCTAGTAAATAGTAGAGTCAGGATTTTAAACCAGGTTTGGGGTGCCTGGGTGGCTCAGATGGTTGAGCGTCTGCCTTTGGCTCAGGTCATGATCCCAGGATCCTGGGATCGAGTCCGCATCGAGCTCCCTGCTCCTTGGGAGCCTGCTTCTCCCTCTGCTTCTCTCTCTCTCTCTCCCTCTCTCTCTCCCTCTGTCTCTCATGAATAAATAAATAAAATCTTTAAAAAAAATAAACCAGGTTTGTCTGGTTTCAAAGTCAAAACCACTAATCAACAGTATACTTTCCCTAATATATATATATAGGTATAAATTAGGGAAAGAAAAATACATTAAGTACAATGTGTGTGTGTGTATATATATGTAGTTATACACAAACTTTAAACCATATGTGAATATATGTGTTTATATACTTAACACAACTGTAATTGTTTACACAGTTATAACTGTACCTACATTAAATGAGAAGAAATAAAAATTTTCAGATTTGTCAGCTTATCAATAAAGTGATAAGGTAACATGAGCATGGTAGAAGTATAAAACAGTTAATTTATGAGATGTTATAATATTATAGATTGCCCAAAACTCAGTCAGCATCCATCTTATTACAGTTTGAGGTATGGAGGGAAGAAGGAAGATGATAGATAGATAGATAGATAGATAGATAGATAGATTCTGTAATTAAAGAACCCTTTGCTTTTTAGCACAGGCCAACATAAAATCAAAATCTCTTAAATCCAGAAAAAAGATAAACACTGAAACATTCTAAATGATTAATAAATTTAAACACTGAAACATTCTAAATGATTAATAAATTTGCTCTATTTTTGCTATATTAACCAATATAATTCTAGCTAGAACTTAGGAAATAATCATGATTTAATACTTTTTTCATTAGAGACAATATTAACAAAGTATGCATTACTTTGCATTACTCAATGAATAATTTACATTACGTAAAGTCTCAGGTTCCCCTTAAAATCATGATAAAGTATTGAAGATCCAGACCACCATTACATGTGGACATATTGTATGGATGGAACTTCTTATTCCATCTTTTGATTCAGAATGTTTGGGTACCTTTCTTCCTTTGCTATCTGGATCCTGAGTAAACACTCTAGGTGTTTCACAGATGGATAGCATTGGGGAGGAGCTAGAACTGAAAGAACACCTACCAAGTCCATAGTTTCTGAACTAGCTACCTCACTGCCCACAGGTAGGTTCGTCAATCAGGAAATACTTTTATCTGAAGAGCTATGGTAATAGCTACCCAATGGGCTCTAATATCACCCTCAAGTCTGCCTCCATTCTAGGGGAGGTCCTGGTTATATTCTCCCTCCTTTAGCTTCCTTCTGTATAATAAAAAGTTAACCATTTCTGTCTCTGAATTGTTGATGTTTTTCTGTATAACTGCTTCTAATCTGTATTCAGGGGCAAGACATAAAGTCCTCCCACTAAGAGCTAAGCCAAGCTTCCCCTCTATTCTGAGAGAAGGCATAGGACTTCTAAAATGATCAAGAAGTGCGTTGTATCTCATACGTAAGTTACCTAGCACAAGCAAAAGCCCACACAATGTAAGATCCTTCCTAGGCTCTCCATGCGTGCCCTTGCTTCCTTTCAATCTACCACTATGCTCAGTTTTTGAAAATGCAAAACTGATTTATGATGCTACATCACAGCATAATTTTCTCCTTGGGATCATGCATTTAGTTTATTTTTATTTAAATTCAATTAATACATAGTTTATTATTAGTTTCAGAGGTAGAGTTCAGTGATTCATCAGTCTTATATAACACCCAGTGTTCATTACATCCCGTGCCCTCCTTAATACCCATTACCCGGTTGCCCCATCCTCAGTTTGTTTCCTATAATTAAGAGTCTCTTATGGTTTGTCTCCCTCTCTGATTTCATCTTGTTTATATTTTTCCCTCCCTTCCCCTATCCTCCTTTGTTTGGTTTCTTAAATTCTACATATGAGTGAAATCATAGGATCATTGTCTTTCTCTGATTGACTTATTTCGCTTAGCATTAATACCCTCTAGTTCCATCCATGTCACACAAAAAGAGATTCAAAATGGATTAAAGACCTAAATGTGAGACAGGAATCCATCAAAATCCTAGAAGAGAACACAGGCAGCAACCTCTGTGATCGGCCACAGCAACCTCTTGTTCAACACGTCTCCAAAGGTAAGGGAAACAAAAGCAAAAATGAACTACTGGGACTTCATCAAGATAAAAAGCTTCTGCAAAGGAAACAGTCGACAAAACTAAAAGGCAACCTACAGAATGGGAGAAGACATTTGTGAATGACATATCAGATAAAGGGCTGGTATTCAAACTCTACAGAGAACTTCTCAGAACTCAACACCCAAAGAACAAATAATCCAATCATGAGATGGGCAGAAGATATGAACAGGTATTTCTCCAAAGAAGACATCTAAATGGCCAAAAGATACATGAAAAGATGCTCAACATCACTTGGCATCAGGGAAATCCAAATCAAAACCACAATGAAATACCACAGCATAATATTTATCAATACTGTTTCATTTTTCTAGAATCCTCACCCATGGTTCATACAAGGCCCCCTAGACTGTCGACCTCTCCAGACTCATCGTTCATCACCCACTCCCCTCTGTGCTCCAGGGAAACAAGACTTCTCTGCTAAGATTCTTAACTAGCCATCACTTACTAACCCCCCTAGTCTTATTAACTCCTATTCATCCTCTGGCTTCTGTGTTAAGCAGTACATTCTCAAGGAAATCTTTGCTGACCTTCCCAGCCTGGGTAAGTTTCCTTAGTAGCAGAGCCTTGGCCTTGGCCTTTTCTGTTCAAGCACTCATCTCAAATTATAGTTATAAAAATACCAGCTTGGTTTTATGATTAATGGCTGCATCTTTCCCCAATTTACAAGCATAATGACAGCAAAAAGCATGTGGTTTTAGCTTAGTGATCTATCCCCAATGACCAGTACAGTGTCATCCAAGAAATCAGTATTTGTTGAATGAGTAACTAAATGTTGGAAAGTGTAACCTTGAGCACACACACAGAAAGAATGCCTTTGCCAGGAACACAGGAGAAAACCAGTATTTGGTGAAGCCCAGAATGTGAACAAGAGGAGAAAGAATTTACCTGGAGAATTTAGACATTCTTCTTATCCCATCTATTAAATCTTTCTAATCCCCATGGAAGTTTCTAAACACTGAGTGGCTTAAATTGACTTTGTTTATTCCTCATCTCCTTTTCTCACTTCATGGTTTCTAGACTACGATGGTAGACTTTCTTTAATTGCAATTTTTTTCTGATGTAATTCATTTGTAAATTTACAAGGTGTAGTTTGGTGAAAAATTAACAAATAGTAAAGAAAATTTATGTTTTGAATCTCATAGTATAAACAGTATGCACACATGTTTTGGTTTTCTTCTGGAATTCTTTTGAAAAACAAAATCATGTTCACAATTGTATCATTTTGGAACAGACCAATTGATAGAACAACAATTTTTATTATATCCTAACCAGCAATGTTACTTTGTGTTTCTATGGAAATATGACCACTGCTGCATTAAAAAAATGTTTATACCTATTTGTGTACCCATACATACAAATAAGAGAAATATATGCATATATTTACTATACTATATATCATTTATTATTTCAACTATTTATTGAGTGTCAATCTCAGCCTCTGGGATATATTTTAAGGATTCAATAATTAAGAGAACAGAGTCCTTGCATTCACTGATTTCACACTTTACTCATGGAGACAGATAATATTCTAATATAGTTTTGATTATTGTAATTAATTTTATAAAAGAAAATAGAGTGATATGACATTAAATATTAAGAACATCATATATAGGGGCGCCTGGGTGGCTTAGTCGTTAAGCGTCTGCCTTCGGCTCAGGTCATGATCCCAGGGTCCTGGGATTGAGCCCCGCATCAGGCTCCCTGCTCAGCGGGGAATCTGCTTCTCCCTCTCCCAGTCCCCCTGCTTGTGTTTCCTCTCTCACATTCTCTCTCTCTGTCAAATAAATAAAATAAAATCTTTAAAAAAAAAGAACATCATATGTAGACTGGGAGCTCATAAAAATTATCTTTTGAGCAAACATGTGGAGGAGTAAGAAATAGCTATGCTAGGACTTCTGGGAGAATTCGTAGAGCTCTGAGGTAGGGAATATAGTGTCATTTTCAGGAACTGAAACGTCAATATGAAGTAGAGAGAAAATAAGCATGAATCAGGCTGTGACTGTACGTAGGCAACGCCCATATTAGGCAGAGCCTTTTAGGTAACGTTAAACTAAGAGCAAAAGAAAGTCATCATATGTAGTACACAGAGAAGTGTCATGATT